CTCGTGGGCTGTGCAACTGTCCTGCACAGACCCCTGGCCAGGGACCAGGTCCTCGCTCTTCTTCCTACATGAGTTGGCTGTGCTGCTTGCACTGAATGTCAAAGACATTCTTTGGATCAGTCCGTGAAAAAAAGATTTTATGTTTCTATTCTCATCTCTGCCTGCCACTGCAGGAGCAGAACTTACCTGATGTAGTGACAGCCACCCACCTCACTTCCAGGCAGCCTATCCCAAAAGTGACAGAGCAGAAGGACTCAGAGACCAAATTAAGATGCTAGAATCATTCTTTGTTAAAACCCAATGAAAACAGAGCTTGCAGTGAAGGAAAGAGATGGGGCAGGGTAGCACATTTCAAATAGAGGACAGAAGGTGGTTTGAAGGACGATCTTGAGTTATATAACATTTGCATGTCCTGATTCACTCAGTGGCATCAGTCTTCCCTGCTAACGAGGACAAAGCTGAGAACAAGTAAGCTACATAGGCAGCAGGTGTCTGGGCCTGTGCACATTTGCTCTTATCAAGGAGCTTTGGAGTGAGGATGCCCAGTGTAACCCCAGGTAGCCAGTGACCTGCTGAGCAGACACAGCTTTATCTGCATTTTGTGAGCAGAGGACTTGTGTGTTCAGAATGAGTATCACCATGGTAAGAGGTTAGGGAGAAGAGCCCAATCATGCCGCTATTAAAGGACACTACTTCCAGTACAAAACACAGAAGATAATTCAATGCATGTCAGCTGACACCAAAGAGGAATTGTGGCTTGAAAACACAAAATCAGTGGAAATGAAAGTGTTGAAACCCTGTGGCTGCATGCCCGGAGACACAAAACATAGGTCTTGCCCTAGGACTGAATGGACCTGTGTTTCATGTGTGGATTATTTAAAGAAGCCACATTTCTGCTGTGAACTGTAAACACAATAACTTAGTCTTCCAGAGAGTCTTAAGCTTATCAGGACGATGTGTTAGGTAACAAAGTGCGTAGGAGTGAACTATTATGGGATGCAGCTTATTATTGAAAATACTGATGTATAGAACAAGAGAAATGGAGCGGTAGGAAAATTCATAAGTGTACAGAGTAGACTGTGAAAGATGTCGGAGGAATAAATGGAGCCCATGTGCAGTAAATATGGAAGAAGAGGATGGAACAGAACCAGAATGCTGCCTTTACATAGTAAAGGATGGACCAACCAGGTAAGATTTAACTGTCTTTTTTTTTTTTTTTTAAATACTCTTCTAGTGGCTGATTCCAATTTAATAAGCAACTCATAAAACTTTTTTTTTTTTTTTTTTAGTTTTTTAGTTTTAGGTGGACACCATATCTTTATTTTGTGTGTGGTGCTGAGGCTCAAACTCAGTGCCCCACATGTGCTAGGTGAGTGCTCTTCCACTTGAGCCACAACTCCAGCCCCAGATTGACTGTCTTTAACCATTTTCTGTTGCTGTAACAAAATGCCTAAGACTGGGTCAGTTATAAAGTTTATCTAGTGCACCGTTCTGGAAGGTAGGAAGTTCAAGATCAGATGGCTGTATCTGGAGAGGGCCTCATGCTGTGTCAGAATATGTTATGTGGAATCATATGGTGGATATACAGGCTAGAGTGGCAAGTAGGAGTGTGCAGAAGAGGTCAAAGATCACGGGTACACTTGCTTTATAACAATCCAATCTCATGGTAACTTAGCCAGTCTCCACCAAGACCCAATCCCATCTTGAGAGACTTAATCCAGTCTCTTAAGATGAGAGATGACTTCGTTCATGAAGGCAGTAAGTCCAGGACCTCACACCTCCTGACACTGCCACCTGGAGGAATTGAGCCTCAACATTAAAACCATAGCACTTACTTATTCACAAGGCTCAGATATGTTCGCTCCATATTGACAACTCTGACATCCTTACCTTGGTGCCCCATTAGTGACACCATTCTGTTCCTGAGTCCCCTGCCTGGACATGGAGGTAAAAGTCATGGCAACTCAGCAGGACCCTTGTGAGCAAGACTCCATGCCTCTGCCTTCTTCCAATAGGACAAGTATGTCCTGACTCCAGTCTGCTCCCATTAATTGATCCTTTTTTTTTCTATTTTTCTTTATTGCTAAATTTAAAGATTCAATGAAATGAGCATATCAAGATTTTCATGCTTCCCCCCGCCCTGCTTTTTCCCAGGGATTGAACCCCAGCCTCGCCCATGGTAGAAAATTGATTGCTCTATCATTGAGTTACATTCCAGACTCTTTCCTTAATTTTTTAAAAATTTGAGTCAGGATCTTACTAAGTTGCCTAAGCTGGACTCAAACATGCAATCCTCTTCCTCAGCCTCCTGAGTAGCTGGGATTATAGGCATGAGCCCAGCAATATCAAGCTTCTTCAAGCCTTTTGGTTGAGTCCCCTCTGGGACAGCCCGGCTGGTGGCATAATGGGAGGCTCTCATGACACCAGGTAAATTTCCACCACTCTGGGAACAACTCACACTTTGCCAGTTATGAGAAAAGTTGAGTGTAGAAACCCAAGTTAACTGGTGCCATGTTCCTGATGTATTTCAGTGACACATTAGCCCTTCCTCTAGATTGGAGCTCGGGGAAACTATCTGGCTATCCCATGGCTGATCTAGTTCTTATCCTGGGATACCTCTCTCCAGTATCTTCCAGATGAGTTCTGAGAACATCAGCCCAGCATCCTGGGCACACTGGACACCCTTCACCGAGCGCTGGCGGAGTAACAAAGGATGCATGCATTCTGTCTGTGGCAGACAGAAAGGGCTCCAGGTGATGATTGTGAAGCATCTCTCCTGGAAGATCCTATCAGATAAGATGTTCAGACAGAGGAATGTCAATGACCTCAGGCAGGGGCCAGAGAATGCCATCTAAGAGCTAGCTGGTTCTTCTGCTAGGCTATTTCTAGAATAAGACTCTGAGCCTCTCAGAAAAAAAATATGGGACAAAGGAAGAAAAGTCTAGGCATATTCCCAGTGTCCTGGGTCATCTGAGAATATTCCAGTTTTTCATTATGATATTCTACTTATATTCTTTATGGTATGAAAAGATACAAGTAGCTCATAAGTTCCTGAAAGGTGCTCAGCATTATCAATTATTAGGAAAAGGCACATTAAAAGCACAAGATACATACTCTAATGATTAACATTTTTAAGCCAGGCATGGTGGTACATGCCTGTAATCCCAGCAGTTTGGGAGGTTTAGGCAGCAAGATCACAAGTTCAAAGCCAGTTTCAGCATCTTAGCAAGGCCCAAATCAACTTAGTGAGATCCTGTCTCTAAATAAAACATAAAAAGGGCTAGGGATGTGGCTCAGTGGTTAAGCATCCTTGGTACCAAACAAAAAAAAACAAAAACGTTTTTAAAAGGCAGATAATTCAAAACATTGAGGACTGTCAACCAATCAGAGCACCTCAACTGCTGGTGCGGATGTGGAATGAATAAAGCAACTACTTTGGGAGACCATTTAACAGTTTCTTATAAACTTAAAAATGAACTTATAAAAGGACCCACAATTTAGTTCCTGGGTGTTTAACCAAGAGGAATAAAGCTATAGCTGCACAAAGACTTGTCACAAATGTTCACCACACCTTTACTTGAAATTGCCAAATCTGGAAATAATGCAGATATCCATCAACCCAGTAAATAGCAAAAGAGCTTTGGTGTATTCATATAATATAATTCTTTTCCACAACAAAATAAACAGCTGCTAATCACACAACATTTTGCTAAGCAAAGTATTTCACTAACAAAGGAATTTGTACTGTAGGATTCTCTTTATCTGAGGTTCGGTAACTCACAGTATTGATAAGTAGGGTTAGAATTAGATGACCAGTAGTCTGAGCTTGCAGTGGTGTGGGGCGGGATTGGGGAGAGGCATGAGCAGTGGTATACTGGAGCCAGTTCCTACTGGATGATGAGCCCGTTGTTAAATTTTCAGAATGTTGGTGAGCTGGTTGTTGACTGCAGACATTATTAAAATTAAACTTACAATTAAATAAATTATATTAAAACAAAGATAATAACCAGGCACGGTGGCACATGCCTATAATCCCAGCAATTTGGGAGGCTGAGGCAGGAGGATTGCAAATTTGAGGCCAGGCTCAGCGACTTGGTGAGACCCTAAACAACTTGACCCTGTCTCAAAATTAAAAAAATAAATAAGTGCCGGGGATGTGGCTCAGGTAAGCACCCCGGGGTTTAATCCCCAGTATCAACACACACACACACACACACACACACACACACACACACACACACACGACACACACAAAAGTAATAAACACACCAATCTTCTTTACTATGACTTTACTATATTTTATTATTGCCTGTGCTCTTGAGATTATTTAGAGCTATCGTTAATGTGAGAGAGAAATACTATATAATGGTACGCATCTCTTCCCAACTCCACATGGAGTAACATCGGGTCATGGGAGTATTGGAAATCGGTAAACACTACAAATCAGGCCTTGATTTATTATTTTCTTTAATTGTCTAGACCTGGGAAAGTAACAGAAAAAAATTTTATGATACCAATTAAACTTAAAAGTCAATGGTTGTTTATAGCTGTTAACGTTGTGAATAGCACAAAAAAAAAAAGGAAATATTCTTCTAGTATTCAAAAACTGTCAATCTGATTCAGGCAAGAAGTTGCTAATGTCATTGACAAGTGATGTTCCAACATTTCCTGTGGCACTTTTGTCTTACTCCTTAAAGTAAATGAAAATAGCAATCAACATTTGTGTCAGAACTACACTATTTTACTATTAATTGCAGCCGTTGGTTGGCTATAGATCCAAGACGGTGGCAAAAATCAATGAAAACATTTGTGATAATCAACTGGCTGTATGGAATTTACAATAAAGAATACCATATTTTTTATTACTTATAAACTATACAAAATGCTTTATTTTTTATCAGTTTATTTATCTATTTATTTATTTTTTGTGGTGCTGGGGATCAAACCCAGGGCTTTCTACATGCAAGGCAAGCACTCTACAAACTGAGCTATATCCCCAGCTCCTATACAAAATGCTTTATATCAGTAAAATTGACAGGATTTTTGTTATGCTAAGTTATTAGTACATTAAAAATTAAACATATAACACTTTTTCCCCCAAGGCCCTGCTAGTAAACATTTCCCCACATATTACTGAGCACAAGGGAATATTTTAAGTAATAAAAATTATCTGTATTTTAATTGAAGTGATGGTTTCATGGTATATACATTTGTTAAAACTCATCCAACCATCTAGTTAAAATGTATGCATTTTGTAGTATGTAAATTACACCTCTATAAATTTGGTTTTTATCTTTTTATTGTTCTTTTTAGGTATACATGACAATAGAGTGTATTTTGACATGTTATACATACATGGCGTATAACTTACTCAAATTAGGATCCCATTCTTGTGGTTGCACATATGAGTTGCACTGATCATGTATTCGTATATGAACATAGGAAAGTTATATCTGATTGATAAATAAATAATAACATTGGGGACAATTGATTGACAAACCAATAAAGACCTCAATGAATTCCACAGTCACTGTGGAATACTTTGTGAAAACTTTGTGAATCACAAAAGTTTGTTGGTTTCTTTTGAACTTCCTTTAAGCCCAGAGCAGACAGAAGTCACCAATGATGCTTGAGTTCCAGTTTCATGGCCAACACATCATGGGAACTTGAGGTCCTTGCTCCTGGGGCCAGCACATGTTTCTCTCTCATCCTCTGAAAACATCCAGGAGTTCATCTGTTACGATAATTTCTGAGACTAATAGGACCCCACAGTAATTATCAGCTGGGAGTAAAGGGAATGTATAGTTTATAAGTAATAAAAATATGGTATTCTTTATTGATCTAAGTATTTGATGAATTCTCCATGGAGACACACTTCAGTCCCCAGCCCTTTATGACAGCAGGGGAACAGGAATGGCCCCATCCGGGCACTTGGAGGCAAGTACTGGCCACTGCTGGGAAAGAAAAGCCAAGTCGCAAAGTTAAAAGTATATAACACAGGGGAGAATCATATATTTGGATGCTCTGTCTTAATGAAACTGAATAATTACAGTGTTTGGAAACAGCCAGTCAGCCCATCTCATTTTTTCCTTTCAAATATCTCATAATTCTATCAAGGTTTTTATCAAAAAACAAAATGTGCATACTGATGACATTCTTTTTAGTTCTATCTGGACACAATGCCTCTATTTTTATGTGGTGCTGAAGATCGAACCCAGTGCCTCAACATGCTAGGCGAGCACTCCACCACTGAGCTACAGCCCCAGCCCCCGATGACATTCTTATAAAGAAAAAGTGAGTGATAACTAAGCTGTAAACCATGATAAAACAAGCTTAAACGGCATGTGAAAAGATTTGCAGATAGGCATAGAGCTCCTAAGTAGAAAATAATTCAAGTCAAAATCAACAGAGGTTGGGGCTGGGGTTGCGGCTCAGGTAGAGCTCTTGCCTAGCATGTGTGAGGCACTGGGTTCAGTTCTCAGCACTGCATATAAATAAAGGTCCATTGACAACTAAAAAAGAAATTTAAAAATCAACAGAGGTTAAAGAGAAGTTTCTAATTTTCCAACTATTTTGATACAAATTTTTTCAACTACCATCTTTCATTAAATCTTTTGTGAGAATAATATAAGCAGAGTCCTAAGAAACATACGTTTAAATGATCTTATACAGGTCACTTTGCCTTGTTAAATAATAATCTACATAATTCCAATTTATTGCCTTTTTAAATGTATGGCAATATCCACGATATTCAAGTGTCACTATTTTTTGTACTGGGCATTGAACCCAGGGGCACTTAACCACTGAACCACATTCCAGTCCTTTTGTTTTATTTTGAGACAGGGTCTCACTGAGTTGCTTAGGTCCTCACTAAGCTGCTTGAAGCTGACTTTGAAATCGAGATCCTCCTGCCTCAGCCTCCTGAGCTTCTGGAATTATAGGCGTACTCCACCATACCTGGCCACAATTTAAATTTATTTTGATGTAGTTAGAAAGTTCTATATTTAGAAATACTTAAAACATTTAACAAAGACATGGGATTGATCTCAATTGCACTTTACAGGTAAGAAAAATAGAAATTTGGTATGAGAACACTTTTTGCAAGTTTTATCTATGCCCTCATCATAAATAAAGCAACTGGGGCTGGGATTGTGGTTCAGTAGTGGAATGCTTGCCTGGCACATGTGAGGCATTGGGTTCGATGCTCAGCACCACATAAAAATAAAGATATTATGTCCATCTGCAACCAAAAAAATATTTTTAAAAATAAAGCAACTCTATCATGTAGGAGTATGTGTATATGAGTGTGTATGTATATACACAAGCTTTTGTATCAATATATATGCTTGTAAAAAAAAAAAGAGACACTGGTCTTCACTATTGTACCTGGGATTGAACTCAGGGGCACTCAACCACTGAGCCACATCTCCACCCTATTTTATATTTTTATTTATAGACAGGGTTTCATGAAGTTGCTTGGAATTCATCAACCACACTTTTGCTGAGGTTGGCTTTGAACTGGAGGTACGTCTGGGTCAGCCTCCCAAGCCACTGGGATTACAGGCATGTGGCACCATATGGGCTGGTCTTCCCCATTTTTGTGAATTAAAATCCTGTGCTACCAGGAATGGCAGCTACAAGCTCCTAGGAAGGCTAAGGCGGTGGAGGATCACAAATTCAAGGCCAGACTCAACCATTTAGAAAGACCCTAAGTAACTTACCAAGATCCTGTCTTAAAATGAAAAATAAAAAGGGTTGGGGATGTGGCTCAGTGGTGAAGCACTGGATTCCTCATGTATCATGTATCATCTGGGTTCAATCCGTAGTGGGAAAAAAAAAAAATCCTACTACTAGTCTTGTTCTCAGTACCCTAAGCCAAGCAGCTTGTAGTTTAATATTAGCGAATTGGAGCTGGGCATAATAGCACACACCTCTAATCCCAGCTACTTGGGAGGCTGAGGCAAGAGGATCACCAGTTCCAGGCCAACCTGGACAACACGGAGAAACCCTATCTTAAAAACAAATCCCAATAACAGCAATAAAGTATTGGCGAATCAATCAGCAGGCATTTACAGAGAGTGATCACATGTTTCTGATGCCTTCCTGGAAGGATGGACATTCATAACTTTGTGATTCTTCAGTCGCTCTGAATAATCCCAGTTTATTATTCCCTTTATATTCTTCTGGACCCAGCAGAAGTGTGCCTTGAAATTGTCTATCACCATGACTATGTACTGGCTGGGACTGTTTTGTCTGACACATCTTCATTACCAGTTGACCTTTGGATTTTCACTCTGAAATGATTCAATCACACAGATAATATTCACATAAATAATTAATCTTGTATTAGTGGTGAATTGGGGTGATTTTATAACTAATTCCTTGTAGGTAATGCACTATTATATAAAGGACTAGAGGAGAAATTCCTCATGGATCATACCATGTCGGCACAATCCCAGGAAGAAACAGACCTGAGTGAACTTCAGGGAAGACAGCTGAGCCCCAGAAGTTACTTGCTAACGTCACTCAGGAAAGAAGTAGACCCTCCAGCACAAAGTAGTATTGTCTAAAACCGGCTCTAGTCGCAGTGCCCCATATTCTTCTTGGACCAAGAAAGTCACTTGGGCTCTTCAGGATGGCAAAGACCACAGCCCAGGTCTGTGGCTGCCGACGGTACTGTGCACCTGAAGAGTCCACCTAAAACCACTTGGTAAAGTGCTGCACTGGGGCATGGAGACATTGCTGAGGGTTGTCTAGGATTTAGGTGCAGCTATGGGGCTTTGGAACAAATCAGAAACTGTTTCATGGCCTGTTTGCAACTGTTTGCTCACACATTCCCACTGGAAGCTTCCAGATGGTTGGTGTGTTTATTCACAACCCACACAGTCTCCCAGAATAGGGTCATTTGCTCACCACTTCCACCACATTCGCCGTATCCACATCCCATCCCATTCTAGGCAGAGAATTTTTACCCCGTCTCTATGCTGAAGCCAGTTTCCACTAGCTTACAAGTCAATTTTTACATGTTCTGAAAATGCTCAAGCTGTTTTTTAAAAACATAGCCATTATAAAAATTTAAATTTTGTGCACTTATAGTCAAGCAAATAATATTGATATAAAGGTGATAAAGACCCAAAACATCAGTCCTAGTTATTGCATTTTACTCTTATATTTACTCTTTTGAGTTTATTTACATCTGTTGTATCTCAATAGGAAGAATACAATACAGTGATGTGCTATAGAAATGTCCCTTCCCAATTCAACTGACTGTTCAGTGGCTTCACTTCAGTAGAAGTTGGCCATGGTAAGAGCGTTTACACCATGGAAGTCAACAAATGCAACAAATCAGGATTTCTTTTGTTTTACTTGTTCCAAGAGGCTTTTTAACACATTGACCAGCCCACTGTTGGATATTGCCATGTCTCTCGCAGGACTGCAATGGGTTGAACAGTAATGAGGCTGGTGAGTGGCAGAAGATACTCCCAGCAGAGTGAATGGCCTGAACAGACACTTGGAGGTATATTGGTCAGTTTTCCATCGCAATAATGCAATTTCTGAGGCAATCTGTAAAAACAAAAGGTTTATTTTAGCTTATGATTCTGAAGTTCCACTCCATGATCAAATGGTCCAATTCACTGGGCCTCAGGCAAGGGTAGCACATCATGATAAGCTGATGCAGCAGAGAAAAACACCTTATTAACCAGGAAGCAAAGAAAAAGACAGGGGTCCCATGATCCTCTTCCAGGGCATGCACTGATAATGTAAGGACCTCCCACAAGGCTCCACCTACTAAAGGTCCACAGCACCTCCCAATAGCCCCACCTGGGGACTAAGCTACACAGTAGCCCTTTTAAGGGACACCCATATTCAAACCATAACAGAGATAGCAAGAGGTAGCAAAGGGCATGACCCCGTACAAGACAAACTTTCAGAGAAGCTGGGTCCTGCCCAGGGACCAAAGAAAATGAGAAATGGCAATCCTCTGGGCAGATGCAGTGGAATGAAGCTCCCTTCCCCCCACCCCAGGAAAAAAAACGAAAGAGAAGCTCTAAAGAGAATTCACTGTGGCTGAGGAAAAGGAGCCCCTAACCTTACTCCTCACCCTAGAAAAATCCCACACCCCATTGATCCGTCTATACCCAAAGGAAGCAGATTGAGAAAGTGGACAGTGAGTCTGCCATTGGGCAGAGGCCTCCTACCAGGTGAGGAGGGGCTGGCTGAGGACCCCTCTTTCTTCCCTTACCCTACCCCCAACCCCCACTCATCCATCCTTATAAGCACCATAGCCATCCATCCAGCATTTCTAAAAGGTCCAGATGAGTCCTTGGTCCTCTGGACTGTAATATGCCATTGACCGGAGGGTTCAGACCACAGACATTTTCTCACAGTTCTGGAGTCTGAGATTAAGCTGTCACCAGGGTTGGTTTCCTTGGTGGCTTCTCTTCTTTGGCTTAAAGATGGCAGTCTTCTCCTTATGTCTTCTGGTGGTCTTTTCTCTGCATGTCCTGGTCTCATAAGGACATGAGCCACAGGGGATTAGGGTCCACTGGGGGTTAGGATTTTAGCATAGGAACTTGCTGTGAAAACACAATACATCGCCTAGGAGCCAAGATCAGAGGCTGCTCTGGAGAGACAAAGAGCAGCCAGCCCTGGGACCGAGGAACAGAGGAAAATTTTGCTCCTTAGGTGTGCACAGAGGAAGTGTCTGCCTTTGTCTCCCCAGTGCCTAACACTCTGACTGCCACTGAGTCAATATTTCTTGAATGAGTGAATATCTTTGTAGAAAGAGAAAAGGCAACTCTTTCCCAGGAACAGGCAAGAGTCCTCCCAGTTTTATTTAAGGAGAGGTGCTCTTTGGATCAGGCAGGTGTGAACTAAGACTTCATCCTGGCCCCCAATCATCCAGGACCATCGTTTGCATCAAGTTCCCCCAAACCAAGGCCAAAGGGTCCATGGAGGTGTACAGAACCTGAAAGAGGGAAGAAAATCAGTACCGAGCGGAGAAGTCAAGATTAACACAGGCCTATGTCATTTTATTATGCTCCACAGATACTACGTTTTTTACAATTTGAAGTTCTGCAACAACCCTGCATCAGCCAAGTCCATTTTTCTAACAGTTCAGATGGTCATTAGCATTTTTTAGCAATGAAGTATTTTTAATTAAGGTATATATTGTTTTTTTCCGACATAATGCTATTGCACACTTAATAGATGATAGTATCACGTAAACATAACTTTTATATGCAGTAGGAAACTAAGAAATTCGTGTGACTGGCTTTATTGCTCTATTTGCTTTATTGCCATGATCCACAACGGAACCCACAGTATCTCTGAGGTAAGACCTGGGTATTTGATGAAACATATATCAATTAGTGTCCTAGCCCTTTGTCATCGTTTATTATTTAGTTACACATTATATTTGAGGTGGCATAAGTGTGCATTTCTTTTATTCTTGACATTTTATGTAGTGGAGGCTTTACAAGTCAGGGACCTGGGAAGCTCTCAGAATGGCCCTCTGCCATTTCTAGCCATGAGAAGGAAGTCATGGTGAGGTGATCCTACTGTTCCTCATTCTCCTGCCTGGAGATCTCACTGTGAGAAAGAACCTGGCCTCCCAGCCAGTGGCCACACAAAGTAAAAGACACTGCACCTATAATCCCAGCAACTTGGGAGGCTGAGTGAGACAGGATTACAAGGTCAAGGCCAGCCTCAGCTCTCAGCAACTGAGCAAGACCCTGTCTCAAGATAAAAATAAATAAAAAGAACTGGGGATGCAGTAGCTCACTGCAACAACTCTATAAATGATTTTAAAGGAGACACTCTTTTTCAAATGTTTCTTGTTGGACTCCCTTTCCCACCAGGCATAGATGACAGCTGTCCCTAGGTCAGTATGAAGGAGTTGAGGGGCTCTGCTTGTAGGAGTGTTTCAGAACTTCGCTGATGGGGAGGAAATGAGGAAGTGGGTGGGTTTCAGAAAATATTTTTCTTTTTGCTTTCCCAGAAAGAGCACAGTCTAAGGAACAATCATGGTTTGACTCAGCCACAGCAGTAATCCTGGGTCCTGATACTCTGATACCACGCTGAGCTTCAACAGGGAGCCAGAAAGGATGATGATAAAATATCATTCTGCATACTGCATGCGATTTCATGTAAATAGGTGTGGTGAGAGCAAAGGAGCATCAATATCTATTACTTAGAACCAGATGAGGAGAGAAATCAGCAGCTGCAAGACAACCATCAGACCCAACCCCACTCCTCGGTATTTTGTGCCTCCAGATTTTTTTTTTTTTTTTAAGTGGGCAAATTCTCCCTCTGCCTTGAGCATCTTGTCACTGAGTTCAGTGGTACTTTTCCATGACATAACCTCTTATCAACTGCAGGACCACGGCTAATAAACTCATGGAAAACCACTGATTAAGACATAACCTTTAAGCGTGCGAGGTAACAACATGCAAATCAACACGCAGCACAAATAGCGCTGGAGTCCAAGCTCACCCGCCAAGCTGGCTATGGCTCTCGTAACGAATCCGGGCATATGGTACCATAATGGAGCATGAATTTACAGCAACAGAGATGTACGAGGGAGATTAAAGCTTCCTCTGTAAGGACACACTGCCTGGCGAAAACAACAATTACGGTATTTTCTGCTTTGTATTATGAGCAACATCATTCCTTTTGGTAGAGTGTGGGCTCCCTCTGCTGCCGGCAAGAGATACCCAGACACCAGGCACTTAGACACCTGAGCAGAGATAGGGGCCTGTCCTGGGGAGAGGAAGATTGTGCTGAACGTGGCAGAGGACAGGCTTGTTCTGTAGGCACAGGTGCTGTGCAATTCTGGGACTATTTGTGTTGGTGCTGCTATTGCTACAAGAAGCAAGAAGTAGAAGTAATGGAAAAAACACAAAGAAATTCTATCTGTCCACATCACCTGTGTTTGTACTGAAACATATATCACAGAAGCCATCTTGAAATGCAGCCTGCAGCCCCTGCTTACTTGCTTGCTTGCTTCCTTTCTGGTCCACCTCTTGTCTTTTGACTGACAGCAGGATAATACCAGACTTTCAAGTCTCCATTTCCATGATAAGTCTAGGTTGCTTTGGCCCATACTGACCAGTTCTAATTGGAACCTGTTTATGGCTGGGAGAATTATCTTTATCTCCCTGGCTTCCAGGATCTGGCCTGTGTAAAGTTCACAAAAGTCCCATACTTCAGGGTAACTTGTGTTCTTAGTGGCATTTTGAGACCTGCATTTCTCCTGAAGATAGCAGGTAGTTTGCTGTAAGCCATATAGGGGCTGTAGATAAATTGCTTTTTAAAAGTAAAGGCATGTGCTGGTCAGCACAGGGCGGGAGGGCATTTATAGAATTATTCCCTTAACCTCATGTGCCCACCACTGGCATCTGTCTGCTCCCTATCATTTTGATATCATTCCAGCTATTTCTATTCCCAAGTTTAGGTGAGAGATCAGGAACTCTGACCTCTGGAGATGGACAGGGTATGAGGAGTAAGGGTCAAGCACACATGTTGGACCCCATGCTCTTTGAAACGAGGACCACACTTGCTCCTCCCAGGAAAAATATCCAATTCATTCTGTGACAACTGTCACATGACCAATATCTCAAACTCTGATTTCTCTCTTAAAGTTCTAATGGCCGTGATTTCAGTTAGTCAGCAGAGGTAGAACTTCCGGATGAGGTCAGTTTCATGTTACTGGGGGTATATCAGATACTGGGTGAAAGGTGAACAGATACTTGCTAGTTCTCTGGGTGATATGTATTGATACATGGTCACCTATTCCCACCTGCAACCTGCACAGAAAAATGTTCAATTACAGTTCTGATGGTGTCCTTCAGAACATACATTTTTATTTCTTCAGTTTTAACACTCACAGCATTTCTTTGGCTGTACATCCAGCTAAGAAGCCACCACAGTCATTGAGATGAGAGAGGAAGGTGGTGTGGCCACAGCAGAGTGGAGGTAGGGAGAGATTTTGAAGAGACAACATGAGACTCAGATGACTTGGATGTGAAGTGAGACAGAAAGAGAAGCCAGGTGGACTCCAAGATCTTTGCTGTGTGGCCATGGGGGTGCCTGTGTTTTTCCTGGTAGTGAGGTGGTGTTTTTTTACTGGGATGGTGAAGAATTGAGGGGACAGGTGCTAAAAGGAAGTCAGGGCCTTTTTTTGGAGTGTAGTGAGTTTCAGATGCCTATGAGGCCTCTTGGAGAAGTTGAGTGTGCAGGTAGATGCCCTTTCCTCAAGTTCCAAGAGAATGTGGGGCTGGAGATAGGATCTGACAGGTATTAGTGTATATAGATCGCACTGGGGTAGATTGCCAGGAAGTGAGGATGGAGGCGACCCACAGACAGGGTCAGGAGCTGGGGCCAGGCAGATCCAACAAAGGAGTAGCTTCTGCTGGAAAAGAAAACCAGGAAGCCAAAAGCACATGTTTCAGTGAAGAGCAAAAGAACAAAAATCTTGCAGGGAGATTGGTAAAATTACTATCCAGTAGTTGAACTATGTTCAACCACTATAATTGAACAGATGAGTTGCAGAAAATTCTGATGGGAATGGGTTCAACAAAAAATGAGAGGTGAAGGGCTGAGGATGTAGTTCAGTGGTAGAGTGCTGGCCTAGGAGGTATGAGCCTTGGGTTCCAACCGCAGCATGAGATGGGGGTGGGAGGAGAGAAAGGAAGAAAAAGGATTTGAAGACAGAAAATATAAACTACTTTTTTTTTTATTTCATTATAGAAGGAGGGCAGAAAATAGAACAGTAATAAGAAGGATATGGGGCAACTAGATAAGTATTTGTTTGGTTTTAGGTATATATGTGTAATGGTTAATTTGAATTGTCAACTTAATTGGATTAAGAGATGCACATGATTAAGGGACTTATAGGTGTGTCAATGGGGTGTGTCTAGGAATGATTGGCATGTGCGATAGCCAACTGAAATGGACAGCCTCCCTAAGCATGGGCATCACAGTCCAATAGGATGATAGCTTGGATGGAATAAAAGTTGGAAGAACAAGGAAGCTGCAGCAGATGCTAGCTCAGTTCTTGAATGGGTTCTTGATTGCTGCTCTGATCCTTTCCATAGCAGCCTCTGACAGTGATTCTCCAGAAGCCTCTGGTCTTGAACTAGGGTAACACCATTGATTCCTCTTGTTCTGGGGCTTCAGCCTTTGGACCATGCCTTTGGACCTTTGGACTGGTTCTCCCAGCTCTCTAGCCTGCAGGCAGCCATTGTGGACTATCTGGCTTCTGGTCATGTAAACCAGCCTGATAAATCTTCTTATCATTATACTTCCTGTTGATTCTGTTTCTCTAGAGAACCCTGACTAATATGTACGTGTGCAGACATGTATCTATTGAGACAGGGTCTCCCTGTGTTTCCCAGAGTGGCCTTGAATTCCTGGGCTCAAGCAACCCTCCTGCTTTAGCCTCCTGAGTATCTGGGACTACAGACACATGCCACCGTGCCTGGCTTGTTTTATTTTTATTTGTAATAAAATATAGATAAAAGAAATCTTGGCATTTCAACCATTTGTAAATGTATAGTTCAGTCGTGTCAGGTGTATCTACACTGTTGAGCAACCAATCTCCAGAATTCTTTTCATCTTGAGAAAACTGTGTACCCATTAAGCAGCTCCTCGTTCCCTTCTCCCCACCAAACCCTGGTCACGACCGAGCTACTATCTGACTATGACTACAGCCAAGCCTCGCTCTACCACATAGACACCTTCCAAGAAATGCATCATTAGTCAACTCCATTACTGTACAAACATCACAGTGAATTTACACAAACCTAGATGATATAGGCTAGTCACTCAATATGATCTCTTAATGGGATCAAGAAACAGGAAATAGAAGATGTACGGGGCCACTTCCAGTGTAATGCAGTATACTGTTTCACAATAAATGATTTTTATAAGAGTATGATGTAAAATAATAACAAAAGTATAGTAAATATAAAAACCAATAACCTAATCATTTACTAACAAGTATTTCTATGTGTGCTGTACATAATGGCATGTACAATATTTTCATATGACTGGCAGAGCACTGGGTTTATTTACATCAACATTCCTACTCACACTTGAATAAATGTATTGCACTGCAATATTACATTGGCTATGATGTCACTAGGTGATAGGGATTTTTCGGCTTCATTATGATCTTATGGGACCACCGTCTGTCGTTGACCAAAATGTCATTATGCATTATGTGACTCTGTTCTAGAGCGTTACTCTCCTCAGGCTGCCATACCAAATAGCATAGTAAGAGTGACTTAAACAACCGAAATCTACTTTCTCATCGTTCTAGAGACAGGAAGTCCAAGATTAGTTGGCAGATTTGCTTTCTTCTGAGCTTTCTGTCCTTGACTTGTAATTGGCCACCTTCTGGCTATGTTATCACTAGGCATTTCTGTATGTCCATCAGTGGACACTGGGTTACTTCCACCTTTTGGTTATTGTGGATAATATTGCTAAGAAGTTGGTGTACAAAGAACTCTTAATTATTTTAAGTATATGCCCAGAAGTGGAATTACTGGATCCATGATGTTTAATTTTTTGTGGACCCACCATACCACTTTCCATAGTGGCCCACCACAGGGCAGGGGATATAGCTCAATTGGTAAGAGTGCTTGCCTTCAACGCACAAGGCCCTGGGCTTGATCCCCAGCAAAACACACACACACACACACACACACACACACACACAAACCCATAGTGACCCACCAAAAGTAACAAGGGTTTGAATTTTTCCACATCCTCAACAATACTTGTTCTCAGGCTTTGTTTGGGTTTTTGGTTTTCGTATTTTGATAGTTTATATCCTAATGGGTGTGAGGTGGTATATCATTGCAATTTTGCCTTATATTTCCTTAATGGTTAATGATATTGAGCATCTTTTCATGCTTGTTGGTCACTCGTATATCTTTTCTCTTTTTGGGTAGTGATGCTGGGGATTGAACCCCATATGCTAGGCAAGTACTGGATCACTTGGACCCCAAATGGACCTCAAATAGACTCCAATTCCAATTGTGTGTGTATCTTCTTCAGAGGAATATCTGTTCAATCCCTTTGCTCATTTTTTAATCAGGTTGTTTATTTAGCCATTGTTAAGTATTGTGTGTGCAGCTTTATTCAATGCTACTCAATGTAGCGTAGAAAACTTCATGACCTTGTTGGAAACATCTAGATGCTTTAAATTTTTAGATGTTTCTTTTTAGATGTTTAAAAGTATGCAACACGAGGTGAGAGTAGAGGGCTAACGTAATGCCCTATGAGTATTTCTTGTTACTTCATAAGAATGGTTGTATTTGGGGAATGGTGTAGAGAGTGGTGACACAAAGTGGGAGGCACAGTGTCTGAAATCAGGGGTTTCTGATGGCATCATAGCTGTGGCATGCTGGGTGCCTGGGAAAGTTTCTGTGCAAAGGTGCAGGATGCCTAGCTGCTGTGATAATACCCTCTGTAAGGACGCTCTGTGCTAGAGTCTTATCAGCCTTGACCTTGATCTCAGGCACACAGCTCCTGGAAATAAAGGCACTCTCTTGCTAGAGGACCACAATGTTTCACCAGCTCAGCTGCTCCTGAACCTGCCGAATAACAGTAACTTTAAACAATGAACTTTCTTGAGAGCTACACAAATCTCCTAACATTGCACATTGCAACTGTAGAATGTAATTGCAGAATAAGCTGCATAATGTTGCTAACTCTGTAATTTTCATAAATACAAAGAATAATACTTGCATAGTGTTTAATCTGATTAATGAGACCTATATAAATAAAGATTGCTGGTGTAATTCTTTAGACCTGCTTCTCCATCAAAGAGCAGAGCTCCACCTGACCCAGCTGTTATCCTCAAAATCTGAATCCGTGAGCCTTTATTTTTCTTATCCCCTTTTGCCCCTCACAGGAATCTGCAGAATGGAATTGTTAAAGTTGACATCTTGGAGAGCATGCTGACTGTTCACTTGGTGGTGGGCAGAGAAAAGTATACAGAGAGAAGCTCCTTTGATTATTGAGTGTCTAGCCATTGTTCTATATGTGCATTTTAATTAATATTGCTGGGTATTAAAGAATAAATCCTAATGGCCAAAGTACAATAGAAGTAGCAAAAATAAACCCTATGTAGTTTTTAGGAAAAAACTATCCTCTGGGAATGGGTTTTGTTAGTCTACCTCCTGGAGCTAGGATTGGTCCTGAAGTTTGTCACTGGATGGTGAAGAGGGAGAGAAGGGAGGGTGAGTGGAAGGGCTCTTTCCTAGTATCTCCTTATCTACAAGATGGTTTTAGATTATAACTCTAGGCCTACATGATTTTTTTTGGTAAAGTACTTGTGTCTATCAGGCATGAAGTTCATACTTTATTTCCCAATATCTAAGCTTTATGGATGTCCTGAGGTGGCAGTGTATGGTTAAAAAGTAGAGCTAATAGGGACTAGTGGTGTAGCTCTGGAGTAGAGTACTTGTCTTGCATGCCCCGGGTTCAATCCCCAGCACCCAAAAGAAAAAAAGTAGAGTTAGTGAATTAGCCAACTCGTAAATATCTTTTTGATTATAACAACAGAAAAGATGCATCTTGGATGTGGAATTGTTATGGTTCTGGGCAGTGTGTATCAGGACTTGTTCATTAGGCTGCTGCGGAGGGGCAAAAGGAAGCACACAGGGAGAGATGGGAGCAAGTGTGCATAGATTTGTATTTGGATAAGAGCCACTGACATTGTGTGCATCTGCTGGCTGTCATAGGACTATTTTAACTCACTGAGAACATGTCTTCATACTAATATTTTAGTATAAGTTAGATAAAGAACTCTGAGAAAATCATGCTTGGTATATTCATTGCTTTATGTCTCACTTTGAATTGAGCATTAGCAGAACATAGTATTTTAATTGTAACACTGCCAATACATCTATCTACAGCCTTGTTGCCATTTCTGTTTTCAGCGAGATTCTTGTCCAAAGAAAAGCAGAATTATAGTTTTTTTCTAACAGACTGAGTTGGTATAGTATATTCTTGGTTATCAAGAATACTCATGTAGTTTTGGGATTTTGAATTGCTGAATATTCATGATGTGTGGAGAAGCACAATAAAAACTACAATCTCTATCACATAAAATGGGGTGTTGGGTCTATATATGCAGGACTAGGAAGACATGTCCCACTGAGTTGCTTGTGACTGGAAGACTTTGTTCTTTGCTTCTTGGGTTTTTCTCTTCCCTGTAATGCATAAATTCATTTTAAAACATTATATTTTTAAAACCTGGAAAAATTAGAAGGGATATTTCACTACCCATTGTAAAAGATTTTAAGAATGTACTATGAAAAAATGGATAACTTAGAGAAATGGACAAGTTCCTAGAAACACATAGCTTACCAGGACTAAATCAAGAAGAAATAAGGGCTGGGGATATAGCTCAGTTGGCAGAGTGCTTGCTTTGCATGCACAAGGCCCTAGGTTCAATCCCTAGTACCACAAAGAAAATCCAGAACCAGATGGTTTCATTGGTAAATTCTTCCAAACATTGAAAGAAGAATTAACACCAGTCCTTCTCAAATACTTCCAAATAATAAAAGAAGAGGCAATACTTCCTAACTCACTATTCCAATACCAAAGACAGACAAAAACAAGAAAACCAAGAGGCTTATTCACCATGACCAAGTGAGATTTATTCCTGGAATGCAAAGATTGTTCAATATTGGCCAATGTAACACAATAGGTTAACAGAATGAAGGAGAAGACTATGTGATCATCTCAACTGATGAAAAAGAAGGATGTGACACAATTGAATACACATCTATGATAAAAGCACTTTAAAAACTAGGAAAAAAAGGAAACTACTTAAGTATGACAAAAGCCACATATTAAAAAAAAAACACCAGGAATATCAAACTCAATGGTGAAAGACTGAAAGCTTTTCCTCTAAAATCAGGAATAAGGCAAGGATGCTGGCTTTCACCACTTCTATTCAGCACAGTAATTGAAATCCTAGCCAGAGTAATAGGGTAAGAAAAGAAATGAACTACCCAATTGGAGGGAAGAAGTAAAATTATCTAGGTTCAAAGATGATATGATCTTATATGTAGAAAACTCTAAAGAGTCCACCAAAAAACTGTGAGCATTAAAAAAATCCATCAAAATATCAGATACAAAGTCAACATACAAAAATTAGTTGCAACAATATGCAATCTGAAAAGAAAATTCAGGAAACAAACAACTCCAATTGTAATAGCATCAAAAGAATAAAATACTTAGGAATTATTAATCAATGAGGTCAAAGACTTTTACAATTAAAATCATAAAACATTGCTGAAAGAAATTTAAAAAGTCATTAAGTAGACATCCTATGTTCATGGATTAGAAGACAAAATTGTTAAAATAATATTACACACATTTAATGCAATTTCTACCCAAATTCCCTATTTTTTTGCAAAAGTAGAAAAAAATATATCCTACAATTTATATGGAATCCCAAAAGACCTGAAGTACAAAAATAATCTTGAAAAATATCAAAAGTAGGAGGATTCACACCTCCTGATTTGAAAACTTACTACAAAGCGATAGTAATCAAAACACTATGGCACCAGCATGACACTTGGGTTACTTTCATCTTTTAGTTACTGAGATGACCATAGACCAAAAAGTAAAATAGCCTACAAATAAACTGTTAAAGATACATTTAGATAATTTCTGACAAGGATGCCATAATATTCAATGAGGAAAGAGAAGCCTTTTTTTTTCAGTTGTACAGGGATGATTTTTTATGTGGTGCTGAGGATCAAATCCAGTGCCTCACATATGCAAGGCAAGCGCTCTATCGATGAGCTGCAATCCTAGCCTGAAAGGGCAGCCTTTTAAACAAAGGTACTGGTAAACTGACTATCCAGATGCCAAAAAAAAAAATGTAGATCTGTACCCAATACCATACAAAAATTAACTCAAAAATGGACCAAAGACTTAAACAAAAAATTCTATACAAGAAAGCATACAAGGGTCTGGGGTTGTGGCTCAGCAGTTAGAGTGCTTGCCTAGCATGTGCGAGGCACTGGGTTCGATCCTCAGCCCACATTAAAATAAATAAATAAATAAAATATATTGTGTCTAACTACAATGAAAAATAAATATTAAAAAAAAAAGAAAAGGGAGGGCTGGAGATGTGGCTCAAGCCATAGCATGATCACCTGGCAGGTGCGCAGCGCTGGGTCCAATCCTCAGCACCACATACAAATAAAGATATTGTATCTGCCGAAAACTAAAAAATAAAGATTAAAAAAAAAGAAAAAGAAAAGGGAAACATAGGAGAAAATCTTTATGACATTAGAATTGAAAGTTATTTCTTGGATATGACATCAAAAGCACAGGCAATTAAAGAAAAAATAGATAATTTGGACTAAATGAAAATTTAAAATTTTGTGCATTAAAAGACACAAAATTCAAACCATGAAATGGAAGAAAATATTTGAAAATCATATATCTGATAAGGCTTGATATTCAGTATATGTAAAGAATTCTTATGACTTAATAGAAAAGAAACCCTTTTTTAAAATGGGCAAAGGACTTGAATACACATTTTTCTACAGAAGATATGCAAATAGCTAACATGCACATGAAAAGATGCTCAATATCTCTAATCATTAGGGAAAGGTAAATTGAAATCACAACATAACCTCCGAGAACCTATTAGGATGGCTATTTAAAACAAAAGAAAATAAGTGAGAAGGTGGTGAAATTGGAACTTGGTGCATTGCTAATAAGAAGGTAAAATAGTGTTTCCCCTGTGGAAAAATTCCTCAAAATTTTGAACATAGGTTTACCATGTTCAGCAACTCCAATTCTGTATATGTACCAGAATTTTTTTTCCTTTTTTAAAATGGTACTGAGGATTGAACTCAGGGCACTCTTCAACTGTGCTACATCCCCATCCCTTTTGATTTTCAATTTGGATACAGGGACTTAATAAGTTGCTGAGGCTGGCCTCAAACTTGAGATCCTCCTGCTTCAGCCTTCCCATACTCTGGGATTAAAGGCCTGCCACCACTGAATCGGGCTTACCCAAAATAATTGTACAGACACTTGTACACCCAAGTTCACAGCAGCATTATTCACAATAGCCAAAAGATGGGCGCAACCAGGGTCCACTGATGGATGAACTTTTTAAACCAAATGTAGTGTATACATACATACGATGGAATACATTCAGCCTTCAAAAAGAATGAAGTTCTGATATGTGCTGCAACATGGATGAAGCCTGAAGACATCACACTAGGTGAAATAAGCCAGTCACGGGACAAATGGTGTATAAACAGGTACATTCACAGAGACCACAAGTAGAAAGATGTTTGTCAGGGGTCGGAGGAGGGGGAAATAGTTATTTGGTGGAGTTTCAGTTTGGGATGAGTGGGTAATCCCAGCAGCTCAGGAGGCTGAGGCAGGAGGATCTCGAGTTCAAAGCCAGCCTTAGCAAAAGCAAGGCCCTGAGCAACTCAGTGAGATCCTGTCTCTAAATAAAATACAAAGTAGGGCTGGGATGTGGCTCAGTGGCTGAGTGTCCCCGAGTACGATCTTGATACTCCCCCACAACCACCACCACCAAAAAAAAAAAAAAAGTTCTAGAGATAGTAGTGCCGGCTGCCCAACAGTGTAAATGAATTTGATGCCACTGACCTGTATACTTAAAAACCATGAAAGCAGGGCTGGGGTTGTAGCTCAGTGGTAGAGCACTTGCCTAGCATGTGTGTGGCTCTGGGTTTGATCCTTAGGACCACATAAAAATATTTTTAAAAAGTTGTCTTAAAAAATGATAAACTTGATGTTCTGTATACTTTTGCAACAATTAAAACTCCAAACACGGATTACCTCCATGAGTTACCGGGTTAGGGAGTTGAGTATCCTCCCTCTTCCCGGAGTCCTCATTCCAAAGACACCGCTAAAGCCACGGAAGCCAATCCCAGCATCCTCCCAGCGGAGAAAGGGCCTGGTGCCTGGGAGGTGACACCACCCCCCATCCCATTCCCCCATCTCCAACTTGGTTCTCAGCCTCCAAGTTTAATTTGTCCAGTGGCTGGGGGTGGGGGTGGGGGGGCTTCCGCGAGTGTCTTCGACTTTGTCCTCCCACTGTCACCCCAAGCCATTTTAAGTGTACAACTTTTTTTTTTTTTTAAAGCACATTTAAGAACTGTGCAGCCACGGCCACAAAGCAGTTCCGGCACATTTCCATCACTCCACTTTGCCATTCTGAGCCCCTGGTTCCTCGTCTATAAATGGTGATACGATGAGCCTAGCACTTTAAAGGTCCCCAACAAACTCCACCCATAATTATTCTCCTTGTTGAAGACATAGATCTAGATTAGTTTCTTTTTCCAAATCGCAGTCCAGTTTTTTTCCCAGCCGGCATCCACGCATTTACAGCCGTGGAATGCGGGCAGGGAGGTTGGGTCCCCAGGCTCCGCGGGGGGTTTCAGTCTAAGGTCCCTCCCCACGGTACCGCTATCCCGCCACCGGCCCAAGCCCAGCAGCCAGCGATCGGGGAATCGGGCCTCTCCCGGGCGCCCTGAGTGCTCGGGGCTGGATTGGTGATGCCTGGGCGCTGAGGGCGCCTGCGCAGTAGTGAACGTCGGGATCGCGCCCAGGGGCTGCGGAGATCCCTCTGAGTGGGCTCGAGATCGCTCCGAGTGGGCCCGAGAGCGCGGCGGCTGCTCGACCCCCGTCGGCCGCAGCATGGCGGACGAGGAGCTGGAGACGTTGAGGAAGCAGAGGCTGGCCGAGCTGCAGGCGAAGCACGGGGTGAGCGTGCGGGCGCCGCCCTCGCCTGGGGTGGAGCGCACGGCCCCCGGCTGAGCGCTCGGGCGTTAGCCTCCGGGGCCGGGGACCTGTCCCCTGCCCCCGCGGGGTCGTGGCCTACCCCGGGGCCGCCGAGGCCCCTTCCCAGTCGCCAGGCCCCGGGCGGGCGCCGAGCACGTGCGCGGTGGTTCTGGATGGGGGTCTGGCAGCCCCCGAGGGGGTTCGCTGGGCCGACGTCCGCCCGGGGGAAAGCCTGCGCCTCGCCCCTCCCTCAGCCTCGGCTTTCAGGGCTGGCCACCGTCCACTGCCGTGCCCGCCCATCGGAACCCAGTGTTTCTAGAATTGAGTTGTTGTACCCCCGAGTGGCCTCGCGTTGCGTTGAGGGCCCGCTGTGTTTCGGGCGCGGGGACCGGCGAACTCCAGCCCCGACGGAGCGGGACAGCCGACTGGTCCTGTCCGGGAGCCGGGGCTGGAGGAGCGGGTTAGGGGTGGAGCGAGGTGGTTGGCATCATCGGTGTCCCTAATTCGGAGGCACGTTTTAGAAGCGTAGTGTAGGAAACCGGGGTTGTCTGTGTTCTCAAACGTTCTATGAGTTGTGACTTCAGAAGTTCATGGAGACTCTCTCGCTGACTTCTCTGAGCCCAGGTTTTAATTATTAGAAAAGCTGTCTCTGGTATGTATCAGAAAGAAAGCAGAATGGGTTCTGTCTTTACCCCTTTGTGAAATTACACTCAATGAAAAATTATTTTTTTTTTTTTTTCAGGATCCTAGCGATGCAGCACAACAAGAAGCAAAACACAGGTATGATGGGCTGGACATCTGAACTTCATGAGAGGTGGTTTCACCAAATGAACCAAACCCCCACCCCATCCCCGAAATGTTTACAGGTGTATAAGCCTTGAACCTTGTCCTGGCCGAGTGATTTTTGCCATGAATTGTCATCGAGGAATCTTTATTATTTGTTAATTAAATACACATTTAATACCTTGTATTGCAATTACTGTTTATCTGCTAAACTGTGACTGCCTTAACACAGCATAATAGAACTACTTCATTGGTGTGTTGTGACAGTTGAACACTTCAATAAATATTATCTGTTTAAAAAAAATAATAAAAATAAATATCACCCATTATACTAGTCTCATTTTTATACCAGCAGAAGGCAGAGCACCTCACCGGCCAAGTTAATCAAATGAATATTTGATTGCCCCATCATACTGCCTGTTTTTTTCTTTTGGGGTAAAAAAAAAAAGTAATAAAATTTACTATTGCAGCTATTCTTGTTTTTAAGTATACTATTCAGTAGTGGTCACTGTATTCACATTGTTGTACAATAGCTCTAGAAGTTTTTCATCTCATATGACTTTAAACAGTTGAACAACTCCTGATTTCTTCCCCCCTGTCCTCATGCTACCTTTTAAACTCCCTTTGTCATTTGCTTTGGGTCAGGCACTGTATTGGGTTTTTAGAGGTAGGCAAGAAAGTGAGGGTTTAGAAAAAGGCAGATGATAAACACTGAGTGATATGAAGGAAGTATTCAAATTTTGTTGGTTCTGAGAAGTACATTTTTTTCACATTTTAACATTTGAAATTGGAATGCATTATAATTGATTGCTCTTGTCCTGGATTCTTCCACAGAGTATTTACTTTTACTTCTGCCATTTCTTGGGTTCATTTGAAATCTGAGATCTTTTAAAATTTTGTTTGAGGTTCTCTTCTCCCTCTTGCCTGGTAGTGTGAAGTCAGACAGAAACCCTGTAAAACTAAAGCTTGCAGTTCAAATTTTCAGAGGAACTTTTATTTTTTCCTTCCTCTACTTTGGGTCAGATACATGAAGAATTCCTTGCTGTTGCATGGCAGGCTTATTTCTTGTTTATCTTTTATAGAGCATATTGCTTTTATTTCCTCAATATTTTTATTACTTATTGATGGACCTTTGTTTATTTACATGCAGGGCTGAGGATTGAACTCAGTGCTTCACACATGCTAGGCAAGTCCACTGAGCCACAACCCCAGCCCATGCATGTTGCTTTTTGACACCAGCTTTGAGTGGGGGTCTCTTAAGAGACCCATAAACTAGAGTACCTTTTTTTAAAAAAAAACTCTTAAAAATACATAAAACTATGGTGCTTCTTACAATGGGTGACATTTTAGATTGAGTGAAATATAACTTAATAGCAGATTTTAAGCACTCAGGAATTGTAAGGCCTAGGGAAGTAATCTTTAAACTGTATTCCTTAATCTCTAGGGCTCCTAGGTTGAAATGAACAGTGGGCACAACGAGCCCCAGCTCTGTAATGCAGCCAGAGTACACCCTTCAGGTTCCCTGAAGGGCTTCACTTGAGGGAAAAAAAAATTAATTTACAACATTAAAGTTTGAAACCATTGCCCTACGAATATGAACTAGTTTGAGTATATAGAAAGAAGCAAGAGTAGTTGCAGAGTTATAATCTTACTACCCTTCTCCACTCAAAAATAGAACCGAGATCCCTGAGCAACTGTATTTGGTTTTAGCTCGGCCATGGTTACCTGTGTCTCTCTAATATGTCCTCCCTGGGCCTGAGCTTATCTCTAATATGTCCTTCCTGTCCCTGGAAACGGCACCGATTAATCAATTAATTGGTGATTCTCATTGCCTGAAATCCCACTAAGTTTCAAGCACCTGTCACACAATAGGTACTTAAAATTTTGGTAAACGTGGTTGAACTGAAACTCCTCTTTAATTATGAAAATATTTAAGTTTCCTGAAAACATGGTAGGTTTACAACCATATAACAAAGCTGGCTATTTGAAGGCAGAAACACCACAGCACAGTCTGTGTATCCCAAGTGTCTATCGTAAGAAACATCTTGTTACTTTCTATGTATGTTCTGTAGGTATGCTGACAGCCGAGTTCTAATTTTGCTTGACCTATGTTTTTATTGTAGGGAAGCAGAAATGAGAAACAGTATCTTGGCCCAAGTTCTGGATCAGTCAGCCCGGGCCAGGTGTAAGCATCTTCCATTTCCTTTAAGATATTTCCATAAAATTGGCTTGATTGGGGAGATACATATACAGTTACTGCTCTCTAGAGTTAATGTTTGTTTTACCTAAAAATACTTGAGATAACATTATTTGTAAGAAGTGTGAAATTTATAAACCTAGAGAAAATTTCCTTGAATTGTTGAATTGTTAAAACTGCCAGCTCACTTCTCTTCTTAGCAAGAAAATCTTTTCCAAGTTTCTTTTCAGTAAAATTGGTAGAAAACAATTCTAAAATAGAAACAATCAAATTGTTGCCTGTTTGACATGGGTGATAAAGATTGGTGATAGTCTTGGTTTTATTGTATATGCAGTTTTTTATAATAAACAAAAAAAATACATAGAAAGAAAAAAATTAGCCAATCAGAAGGAACTATCTTCTGTAAGTTCTGTGTTGTAAATGTAAGCTCAATTTGAGTTCAGAAAGGACAGATAGCTGTAGATGATCACCACCATTTTATATGCATGGTAATAAATAAATTACTTTTCAGAAGGCAGTCATTTTAAGAAACAAGACAGTATGGGGCTTAAAACCTGAGAACCCAAGTTTAATCTTGGCTGTACAGCTGTGATTGACATGGGTGAACTCTGGCTTTGAGAGGAGTAGCCATTGTGTGCCCTACCTACTTCTCTGATTTGGAGACAATACACGCTTGTGAACTGCTTTGGAAATGTCAATGCGTAGTTTTAAGGTATAATATAAATATGAGTACATTTAGTTTTGATGTCTTTTTGTATGTTTTTTCTTTACAGTAAGTAATTTAGCTCTTGTAAAGCCTGAAAAAACTAAAGCAGTAGAAAATTATCTTATACAGTTGGCAAGATATGGACAACTCAACGGGAAGGTGAGCTTGGCCTACCTTGAGGGAACTTTACCCACTCTTACCTGCTTTATCAAAACATGGCTTCCCCAGGTCAATTTACTGTTCATCCAGTTATAAAATTTGTGGGATTTTGGTTTTTTTTCCTGTGAAGAATTTTTTAAAGGATAAAACAGTCATCAGTTCTAAAAGATAATTACCTTTCTCGAAATGCTATGCTTTCTCCTTTCCTGACATTGCTGTGGAACCTTGCTGATGTCTGTGTGACCCAGTGACTTAGGGTTAGCTAGCTTAACTTAAATTATTTCCTGCACTGGAAACAAGGCTTGTCAATAATACCAATTAAAATACTACCTGTTTAGGTAGAAGTTAGGTTTTGTTTGCAAATGAGGAGAGATTTTAAGCCTTTGATTATCATTTTTGTTGCTGATAGGCCTTGAGGTGTGGGGATCATCTGGCAAGCCTAGCCTTCTTTCAAGTTCCACCTGCTGCTTTCTTAGCTCTTTACACTAAGAACAACTAAGAAAACCTTCCCTTGGGCTGGGGTTGTGGCTCAGTGGTAGAGCTCTTGGCGCCTAGCATGTGAGAAAGACAACCTGTTGATCTTTTTGAGGGTGGTGTTTCCTCCAAGGTTGTTTTTAAGCTTCTCATGGGCAGAGGTAGAATGTCTTTCCCCTGACAACACAGTGGTGTATTTTTCATTGTCTTCTAGTGATGATAAAGATGTTCTTATAAATATGGTTGTTTTGAACTTTTCTGAAGAGCTGTTTGGTGAATATTATCTATTCTCCCACTGAGGAATATAGCAAAGCCAATTTAGTTGGAACTTAAACCAGTAGTTCTAACTCCCTAACTCACTCCTTTCCTCTTTTCTCTCTCTCTTTTTTTTTTTCCCCTGATTATCCTAGGTATCAGAACAAGGCTTAATAGAAATCCTTGAAAAAGTAAGCCAACAAACAGAAAAGAAAACAACAGTTAAAGTAAGTTTCTGCAAATTAAAAGGTTGAAACATTAAATGTTAAGGGTTGAATATACAACTGCCATATCAAAACATCTTTCAGTATTTAGACAGTTTTATAACATGGAAATATTGTGGGGTGACCAGCACACCCCATCAGGGTACGTTCCTGCTCAGTCTGAAATAATTATTAAGAAATAAAGGCAGAGCCAAAAATTAGATAAAAAGGGGGGGGGGTGCCTGATAGGCCTTCCAGTCCAGAACAACTGAAACAGGAGGATACTCTTTCTTTAAGGAGGAGTACATCAAAGGCAGGGATAAGGTTTCAGCCAAAGGAGTCTTGGTGCTTACTTCTCAGTGTGGCAGGGGGCTTGCAGTAAACAGGTTGATTGGCATTTTGGCAAGCCACACCCATCTCCTAGACTCCAGTGGGTCATCCCATCTCTTATCCTATACTGAACTTGTGATGAAGCTAAGTGGTCGTCCCATCTCTGATGCTGTACTGAACTTGTGACAGAGCTAGGTAGGACGCCACATGAACCAGGCGTTCTCAAATCAGCAGGATTGTTGCTGGGAGTTCCTGATACCAGGCTTTCCAGCCTAATGGCTTCAACATCGTTTTAGTTCACACATAGTTCATAGATGGCTTCTCACATGGAAGTTCTGGAAGAAACTATTTATTGAGGTTTTAATGTTTAAGGTTCCTGTTGCCCTCTTTGCTCATGAAATTGTTTTAAAGACAGGACTATGACTCATTTGCCTGTCATGCATGAGACCCTGGGTTCTGTCCCCAACACCACAAAAAAAAAAAAAAAGACACACACAGTCCTGAGTGGGTAGAAATTTTTCTTCTCAGAAAGTCTGAGTTCTGCTTTATTAAATATGTTATGACATTCATTTAATTTTCCCCCTAGTTCAACAGAAGAAAAGTAATGGACTCTGATGAAGATGATGATTATTGAGCTAAAATGTTTATAGAGACTGGACCTTAATAAAACAATTCTAGTACAGAAGTTAAGATCTGATTAATTGTTTACTTTGTTTATTGTCTATATGCCTTTAAAAAATAAACTTGTTATTCAAAGTAAAGCAAGTTGTGGTAAGTTATTTCAGTATCTGCCAAGTGACCAGAAGATCTGCATTTTGAATGTATTTCCCTTCCTACCAAAAGCATTTGAGTACTTAGCAGCATGAATGTAGGAGAAATACAAGTTGTTCCAGCATACTTCAATAGGAAGAAAACACCAACCACAGCAGCCAGAAACACTAGGAAATAAAACCCATGGACAGTGACTGAGTATGACTAATATTTCTGCAGGTAGTACTTCCATTTAATGCAAGAAAATCCCTGGCTTTGATTTCTTTTGTAATATGCTTTTCAAAGGCCTTGATATTAAATTATGTAACATTCATCACTCTCATCCAAAACAGCTGGAGTGATACTTCCATTGATTACAATTAGCCACAATAACTAGGACAAACTGGTAATAATACTTCAACAGTAAAAATGTTTGTAAGACAAATGACTTTTAAAAAAAAATTTTTTAAAGTTGTCAGTGGGTCTTTATTTATTTATTTATATGCAGTGTACTGAGAATTGAACCCTATGCTTCACACATGCTAGGCAAGCACTGTACCACTGAGCTACGACCCAGCTCCAAGATAAATGACTTTAATGATTAAAATCTAGTTTGAGTTGAGCAGTTACATTTTGGTAGAAATGTTTTTGAGTTTTTTACTAATGAAGCTGCAGATGATTTTAAGGCAAATGTCATACTGAGCTTTACTTGCACTAGGTTATGAAAATCTTCTCGGGCTGGGGTTGTGGCTCAGTGGTAGAGTGCTTGCCTAGCATGTGTGAGGCACTGGGTTCGATTCTTAGCACCACATATTAAAAAAAATAGATAAAGTTCCATTAATAACAAATAAAAATATTTTTTAAAAAAAGAAAACCTCTCATACATTTAGATCATAAACTTAATAACTAAGCTCTTTGGTATAATCTTTTAAACGCCTTAGTTCTATGAAACCAAGCCCAGGAGTGAATTCACAACACTTAATGAGATGAATAGGATTGGTAGCAGTGGGAAATGTGGTTTACAGTCCAAGTTGGCTTTAAACACAGCATACTGCTCATGTTTAAACTGTATTTGAGATTTTACAATATTTGAAATTTGTAACCATAATAAACAAAGTCATCATAGGGGTTGGTGGTGTGGCTCAGTGGTAGAGGGCATCCTGGAGGTCCTGAGTTTGAGCCCCAGCACCACAAAAGAAAGTGTTGGAATAAGTGTCTAATTTCTGAATAAATGAGTTATAACCATTAAGAAAATTAAATTTTTAATTTTTTTTAAGGAATAGAATTGTAGTCAAAATCTGTTCCGGGATTTTGGGAGAACCCATTTATAGATTTTGCTTTAGACCTCATTGACATAAAAATGTAAAAAGCAGGGGCTGGAGTTGTAGCTCATGATAGAGTGTTTGCTTCGCATATGTGAGGCACTGGGTTCAGTCTTCACCACCACATAAATAAAGGCATTGTGTCCATCTACAACTGAAAAAATAAGAAAAAAATGCTAACAGCACATTATATAATTCTTAGCAAGTTTTGTTACATTTTCTTGTTCAGAATAACCCGTGTCCTAATTCTAACTACGATGTGAATGTGTTTAAAGATTGTCAGATGTTCTTTTCAAAGACACTTGAGAATGGAAAGCGATTGTGTATACAAGGATAGAAGTTATTGAAGGCACAAAGGGTGGAGAATACTGCTAAGAAGTGAGGAGTAGTTATTCTAAACTTTTTTTTTTTTAATGGAATCTGAAAAAAAAAAAACACAAGTTTATTTAAGTTAGTAGATTCTACACCTCTGGACTAGAATATTTAGGATTTAGGATGTGTTCTTTTCAGCTTAGGCTAAAGATCTCTTCTAGCCCTTCTTTGATTGAAATGGAATATATTCATTAGCCTCCATTAAGATAAGTGTTTAGTGTTCATCTTATTTATATGCTAAACCTCTAATCCCAACAACTCTGGAGGCTGAGGAAGGAGGATTGCAGGTTTGAGGCCAGCCTGGGCTACTTAGTGAGATCCTGGAGGATCTGTGGAGTTGAAGGTCAGAGCAGGAGAAGCTGAAGAACAGGTTCTCTTCTAGATAGTAGTGTTTGGAGTGTAAGAGCTGCTGGTGACTTGAATAGGTCATTTCATAACATAATAGGTAAAATCAGGTAACCCATCCACCACTGGACCTTAACAAGGTGTCTGCAGAACACAACTGTCCGAGATTTTATTAGCAGGACCACAGCGGCCAGTCGCAGAGGAGAAGGGAGGAGAGAGAGGGAGGTGGGGGGGGGAGAGAGAGAGGAGGGGGAAGAGAGAGAGGAAGGGAGAGAGAGAGGAGAGTAAGAGAGCAAGAGTAAGAGTAAGAGCTATTCTAAACTTAAATAAGTCAGTGAGCTGGCAATCCTTTGTACTCAAAACTTACACAGACATAGAAATTCAGGCATTACTTATTTGTGAACTGTAAAATTATTCTTTCAAGCTAGGAAACAAGTGGAAAAACAGAGGTGTAATGAGCTAGTCAATTGAGATAGCTCCTACTTCTAATTACTGCAATAGCTCAAAAGGAAACTCCCCAAAGGCTGACAGTTTCATTCAGGACTTTTTCTCCAGATGAAGGGCACACCAAACTTGAAACAGCCAATTTAGGTGCCACTGCCAATTTGACCTTGACCCTCAGATCTCAAGCAAATCAGACCCTTGTTTCTCTGAACCTGTTTCCTGGCTTGCCAATTCTATTCAGTGAGACAGAGTTAAATGATTATGCATCAGGAGACGCCCATAGGAGGGCGCTATTATGGTGGGCAGCGCAGCAGCTCAAGTGGGGCCTGGCCTAAGCTATCCAGTGGCTGTTTGCCAGCGCCAGCACGGGGGTGAGGTGCCCATGTTGAAGAGATTACGGCATCTGAAACTCACAATGTTAAAAAAATGGAACGTTTGTAATATTGAGGATCATTCCATTGATCATCCTAGAAAACAGATCTAAAAATTCACTAATATGAAGGAGGTTAAGAAATCTCCAGAAGAATTGGCTGTTTACATAAATACAACAGTTGGACAAGCTGTGAAGTCCCGATAAATTTTGAAAGGTGATCCATCACCAAAAAAAAAAAAAGTTCAACATCTTTATCCAAATCCTTTTTACAGAAAAAAATAGTCCCCTATAAGTGAGGGCTGTGATACGGCAAATAAAATGAACTGGCTTGTGCAGGCCACCTGCATGAAAAATTATAGCCATGATAGTTGAAGATATTTGGTTAACTCCACAGTGATTCTGGTTCTTCACAAAGAATCCATCATCTAAATTCAGTGGGGTTTTTTCCTGAGGTTTCTCAGGATCATGAAACAATGGCCTAAGTTTGGTTCAGCAGGAATTTGAGATTGAGTGTAGCTTTAACTTTCTGGGGAAGTGTAAGTGAACTTGTAACTTATTTGGGGAGGATAGAAGATCTTGGAGTTGAGGTAGATTGCCTGCCTGTATTAATGGTTTACAGAAAGAAGAACAATAGATCTCACTTGGCTGCTGTGTAGACTTGTTGCCTCTTGTAAAGTCATTACTTAAAAGCAAATTTGAAGAATATGTGATAGTTAGTTTAAACTGGCTTCAAGCTGTAATAAAAAGGTGGTCAGAACTATCACTCAAAAAATTATAAATGATGGAAATATTCAGGATTTTAAAACAATTAAGTGGCCTGTAGGAACAAGAAAACCATCTTACTTTGGTTCTAGGATACAGTGGTATTATAGCTAAGGATGTAGATGCTTATTTATTATAGTTGAATTGAGAGATTTTGTCTACTAAAGAGCATTTGGTTACTCAAAACATCTTGAACTATATGATTTCCAAAAATTGATCTGAGAACTGGGAAGTGTGGAAGAAATTAAAACCATTTTTTTCTTTTAAAAAGCCACATAATGAAACCACTAATGAAAACCTTGAAACAATCTACTTCACATTGAAGTGGAAAAGTATCCAAAACGAACAGCTTCAACTTCAATGAGATGAAAGTGCACTACAAAGATTGTTTGCCTTTGCTGCATTTGGGCTTTATATGGTTATCTGGTAACATTGTTTAAGAACTACTGGGTCCTAATGCAGTCCTCAATGAGAATATAATTTATACTAGGTGAAAAAATAAGACAGGACTTATTACTAGGAACTACAAAGACTAATTATCATTAATTTTTTATTGTTTTATAAAAACCACTTGTACGTGGGCAGCTATTAATGTTGAATAGACTTTCAAAGTTTAAAACGTCATAGTAAATAACGTTAAAAGTTTTTGTCCATACTGAGATACTGTGTATACAAATGCCTTAATTATTAATAAGCCAATGTGTTATGATACCAATATTTGTTTTTAAAAACATTAAAAACCTGCCAGGCATGGTGGTACATGCCTGCAATCCCAGCCACTTGGGAGGCTGAGGCAGGATAATCACAAATTTAAGGCCAGCCTCAGCAACTTAGGGGAGGCCATGTCTCAAAACAAATAATAAAAAGGGCTGGAGATATAGCTCAGTGATTAAGTACCCCTGGATTTTCAATCCCAGTGCCAAAAAAAACTTAAAAATTAAAACCAACCATGATTCATTCTGGCATAATAAAATCATGAAATTAAATCAGAAGTTTACATTCATGTAGAATGTGGTTGAAACATTTTCCATACTATTTTTAAAACTTGAAAATGTTGTTAGAAGTTCTGATTTTTTTTGTCAGAATTTCACATCATGTACATATGTGTTATCTCTATAAGGAAAAAGGTGAGTATACGTTTGTATGAATGTTTAACTGGAAATGTCCATAGAGTTAGCTAACTTATATTCACTTTTTATTGTATGCAGATTTATTTTTACTTTAATGTTTTTTAATATTTTTATTTTAAATATTTTTATTTCTGTATCATTAAATTTCCTTCATTTGAGTAAATTCACTTAATATTTCTTAAAAAATGGTTATGCATCAAAGCATTTTCAAAATTATACTGCACCATCCATAAAATTAGTACTAGCACATGTACATGT